AAAGACACAAAGAAATCATTGCATTCTACCTATGTTTATTTTTATAGGATTCCGTAGAACAATGTCAGCATTCAACGCTAAAACAGATAACAGGTGGAATACAGTTGATAATTAAATTAAAGGCTGGCATGATAGAAAATAAAAATAAACTAAAAAAACACTGCACGAAAATGTGTGATTGACTATAAACACTAAATTGTAGAAATACTTAAAGAAAAAATACAAAACTAGACAAAATATAAAACCATATAAAACAAGACTAAAACTAACAAATGAAAAATAAAAAAAAACCAAAGACACCAAACAAAGAACATTCTGACGCATTCGAACGTTAGACAGTACTGTTCGTCCAGGAGCGATCATCGTATTACTTTTTTATGAGTAAACTTTTTAATAATACGTCGATAGAGACAAGGACATAGTGGCTTTCACAGTTAGAACATGATATACGTCATTTTTTTCGAGCTATATAATCATTAGAGCTTCAAGAAACGTGTACAATGTACATGTTTTGTCAATATTATATTCACGCCGATGTAGAACAGAAATGTACTCGCTGTTTTTTATCAAATAATTACTACAATTTAATTAAACATTTGCGTGTGTTGAATCTGTTAACCTTGATATTCCCGTAAGTAAATAGACCAGAACATATTGTTAAAACAGAATTTAAACGGTCAGAGTAAGGCAATTATCAAACTTCAATTACACAACGTTTTCGACATTTAATACGTTGTTACGAAATCATTCTTTTGAAAAAAACTTCCGTTTCGAAGCACTTGACTAAGATTATTAAGATAATAAGAATTAAAACATATAATAAGAAAAATCGATTATATAGTGTAGTCTTTTAACTATAAATATTATATTTAATATATCTATTATAGCAAATAACAACAGTTTTATATTAATAGATACTGCCAAATCAGCCAGAGCACCTGATTACACCCGATATCATAGTTATCCGTTCAGTGTTTTGTGTGGTCCTTTTTTAACCATCGTACTATTTCTATTGATCGATGTATTGTTTAATAGTGCCCTTTGCAACATACCCTTTAAATGTAAAAACTACCTACGCATTTTGTTAAAATATGAGAAAGTAAAATTAGGTCAACAATCGAAAAAATATACTGAAGAAAGCTTACAACTTGATGGCCATTTATATCTAACGTAAAACAAGAATAAATTATTACACAGACAATTTAGGAGTATGTTACACAACCTCACCATCAACTAAGGTTCTTGGACGTTATGCAATACATGTTTGATTATTTACAGCGTCGTATTGCACGAAACAAATACAACGCCGATTAATAGTTTCATTCGGTAACACCATCAATAAGGAATACAGAAAGAAAATCAGTGTAACAGTTATGTATACGATAAAAGGAAGCTATACGTTGTTATTTGTAAACAAATCTTCTTTCACAATCGAACACATCATGTTGCCAATACATTTTATATTTACCTGAATGTCTTTGTACCACCATGTTATCGTCCCATCACACAACCACACGGGATTGATTATAACCAACACATAAACAATAATGTCGACGAACATATTTTTTCAACATTAAAAGAACGAACACTTATGATCAATTATTCTGTTTTCGCGACCTCTCAACTATAAGCATTATGGGTATTTTCGTTTTTTTAAATACGAGATTGACAGGTATTTAAACGTACAAAAAATGTGTTATTCTAAATAGGTCAAAATGTATTTAATATATATTTTGGTAATAACAATTCTTTATTCAATAAGGTATGAATAAAGAATTGTCAATGACACATAACATCAATATGCATTTCTCCTTTAAGAAGAACACAGTTCAATGTGGAACACATACTTTCATGTTTATTGTGGTTGTGTATGTAACAATGGGGAGGTGTTGTAATGCAGAAAATAAAGAAATTCATAGTATTTGATACATTTTTCTATTGCAGATAATTTCAAGTCCAATAAATAACGGTTTAAAAAATATTCTCTATAAGAATTATCCATCGTCACAGTTAATATATACTGTATCATTCTTATAACAAGAATATATATATGAATAAGAATTTGAGCAAATATTGTTGACATCACCAAAATTGTCTGTAAACATTGCAATACCAGTCCTTTAAGATTGATTGCTTGTTTTGGCTAAACGTTCAGTGTCTAATATGTCATGCCTGTTCAGGACAAAAAGAGGTTTACAATAATTACAATAAGTAAATCCTGTAATTGATGTTATAGAGGCCGTCCGCAATGAAGGTCGGGGAACTTTTGATTGTTCCTAAAAAAGGAGGGTACATTAGATAACCAAATTTGAATTTTTCTACACGTAATGGCAATATTTCAATATATAATACGTTTTTGCTTATGTTAAACAATAAGTATATGATCGTAAATATTTTCATGAAACGTGTTGGCACTTAATTATGTTGTATACAATGTATTTGCGGTACCAGAAGCCATCATATGAAAAATGACTACAATACAATGTATATGTATTTTGTTACACCACCAAACGGGGCTCATTAGTGTTGTCGACGTTGGATTTATTTAAGGCAAATTATGGTTTGTTTTGAGTGGTTCCATACACGGTTTGTTGTGTTCGTGATTTGTAGTGTGTTAGAAACTGCTGTTAATGTACGTGTATCCTTGAGAATTTGACTGACTATATTTGTAATCTCCTGTTGATGTGTGAAACAAATTAAGACAGCTTTGAATATAACTCGTTACAATATCAATAACATATTTTGTAAAAAATACACTTTATTTTAGAATACTGTACGATAAAGATCGTTTTGCAGACATGAACTTTTCCATAAAAATTAAATCCATCTAAAAAATAACTTCGCCAGAAAAGTTAACGATCCCATGATACCGCAAACACTCTAAAACGGGTACAAAATGCAGTTGTTAAGGTCACCATTCAATTGTTTTTATGCTATACTAAGTGAAATAAGTACCGATTATCAAATAGTCTGCATGTTGATATTGTAAAATATCAGCTGCGAGTCACAATATGGAGCTTTTTGTTGAATGAGAGGAGTTTACAATATCAGTATGCAGATAACCTGATAATCGATTTATCGGGCTATATTTGCCTCTTTTGGAAGTGTTTTCTTAGTTTTAACAGCAACCGGTAGCTGACTTGTTAAGTTCGGGTCAAACTTATCAACGTCGTTCAAACATTATGCGTCGTTGGTGTGTTCAGGTCAAATTACGTATTTGACGTCGAGAAGCTGTGCAATTTTATTAAGAGTTGAGCAGAGTGATATAGACAGTGGGACGATTAATCATAATACATAGTGGATACTGTTTGATGCATTAGCTACAATTTCTTTTAATATAGATTCATTGCCCGGCTTTAGCTATACTTTTTTGACCTATTTGGTTTATAGCTCTTCGTCTCTTTTAATAACTTTTGGATATTCAAATATTGTGGCTTCGAGTATCACTGACGATACATTGACTGTCGAAATGCGCATCTGGTGCAGAAACATTGGTACCGTTTATGTTATTTCAAGGAATGTTTTGTCCAAATCAGAAATTCCTTTTCGTTCGGTTTAAAGTTTTAACTATTTGATACTCAATATGATAACTAAAAAACGACATTTAGGATAATAGATTGACCTTTTACATTAGACAATGTAGAGGGAAAAACGTAGGACGGGCAAAAAATTGAAAAACAAGTAAATGGTCAAAATGTTTACTGAAAATGTCTGCCTGCTGATATCCCTAGTGAGGACTTCCTAGGAACTTAAAAAGGATAAGAAAATAATGTCTTCATCTGGTGACTTTGTGATAAATAATCTTTATAAAGGTACACAATTTCAAGGTGAAAGTACTTTATCTATTTTTGTATTAAAAGAGCAGGATCTAAGTACAAAGCAGCAATATATTTTACTGAATTTAAGGTATGAGCTTCCACAAGGTACAAAATGAGGTTCTACCATGTACTTTCTTAAGATAATTACCAAGTAATCAATATATTTTAAGATGACGAAGGTTTTTATGTTACAAATGTATGAAACATATTCTACTTAAAAGGGGAAATATACTGTATTTTCTCACTGAAGCAATATTATGTTAACTATTTTCACTACTGGGTACCCACCTTGAGATAAACAGAAACACGTATCAAAGAAATGAACAGAACAATGTATGCCATCACCTCAATTAAAGAGAACGGCAAAAAATATCAGAGGGACATTAAAACTCAAAAGTCGAAAATAAACTGACAACGTCATGGCTAAAAAAGAAAAAGACTAACTGACAAACAATAGTACACAAAACACAACATAGAAAACTTAAGACTGAGCAACACGAACACCACAAAAAATTGGGGGTGATATCAAGTGCCCCGCACGGGTAAGCAAATCCTGCTTCACATGTGCCACCCGTCGTGTTGCTAATGTAAGTACAAACAAGTTGATAAGTCTAGTTCTATAGTCTGTAGATAACATTCGGGAAAAGGGTACTGGATTGTAGTTACGACATTATGAACATATCTACTATTATCAATGAAACGGGTATTATATTACTAACAACCAACTGGTGATGGCGTCTGTACAACTTGAGAAGGGATCATTTCGACTTCAACATTTGGAACTCATGATTCCTTTTTGGCAGTAACTATCTTTCAAGGAAATCATGATTGGAATTACAAGCCCTGGAATATCATATCAACTTTGATCGTTATGGTTTAGGAATAAATCTGCTTGTTGTAAATGATCTTTGCAACCGATTCAGCATTACACATTACTTTGAATGATTATTTGCAAAGAGCAATCCCGAACCCCTTTTCGTCTTATCTTCAAATCCTAAGTCATATACACAATGATGGCAAAATATTCTTAAAAGAACCCGATGTTTTGTAAATCGGTCAGCCTTTTCATTCGAAGAGTCCACTATCACTTACTATATATTAGTCTAGGCGGAGGCATCGCATTCATATATTCCATTGTATTCTACAAATATACTGATTTAGTGTGCGTAGTAATAAAAAAAGTTTATTATGTAATGATAATTTTAATAGATAAAAATATTGTAATATTATAATTACATTTTGTTAATATAAATAAAAACTATGTCCTTTTTGAATTAGTAACGTACACTTTATAAACTACTTTATACCAATGTGGTATGCTCTTTGTTGTGTCTTTCTCTGTTTCATGGTATGAATCGAATCATTACTACAATAAACACTACTAATGTGTCTCATAAGTTCTATTAGTAATTTGCTAAGACAGTTAATAACCATCCTGCGAATAGGCTGAATTGGTATATTTATATCTAAGATTGGATTGTACATTTTGGTCTTGACTTTCGTTTTTGTAATTTTTCGTTTCTTTCTTCTGTACCCGATTATCGTTGATGCGTTGTTGTGTTTTGTTACTGTCCTATATGAAAATAAATAATTACTTGTATATTAATTATGTACTATTCATATTTTCTGAACGTTGATAATGAATCGGTTATAGAAAAGGCTTAGAAAATATAAAATATATTATTCGTTTGTTTTGTAATGTCGGAATTAAGCAATTGTTAGGCAACAAAAGGTGTATCCCCAAAATAAATATCAATAGTATATGACAATGCAACTCATTCCAACTTTAAAAATGATTTCGTTTACATTGATTAATTGATTGGTGTTTAATGCCATTTTCAGCGGTCAGTTTTTATTGGCGCAGGTAGATTGAGTACCCGGAGCGAACCACCCACCTTCGGTAGATAAACTGACAATCCTTTCAATTAAGATTGGAGTTGAGTGGACCTCCTCCGTACGGGATTCGCACTAACAACTTATGGGTTGACTCGCTAGTGATACAGTAGTTCGACTACTTATACCACTCGACCACCGTGGCATCACTTTAGTTTTAAAAACAATACAGAAATATATATCTTTTATATTATATACGTAACAATACTTTGGAAAATGCATTTCTAAAGCTCAATTAAAAATGAAGCTGTATTGGACGTATGCAATACATTAAGAGCGAACAAATACGAAAGATCAGAATGCAATAGGCAACTGCTTGTACATGCACATATAATAAACTATTAATAAGGTTGATAGTCATAGCATTACGACAGGAAAAAAAAAACATATATACTAATTACCTTATCAAACTAAACTGGGAACAATGAAAATGCACTTAGTTTTTCTAAATATTGATATATTGCTGTATTTGCACTTTTTGATAAAATTCATCTTATAACTGAGAAATTTCGGTTTCTGTATCATTTATATCAAATTCAATCGGATATATTTTATAATCGTTGTATTTTGGTATGACCCAGTTTCTATTTAACTTTTAACCACTGTGATATCTTATATACTTACATAATTAGATGAATCAGTAGATAATTTAGAATCTGATATACTTACATAATTAGATGAATCAGTAGATAATTTAGAATCTGATATACTTACATAATTAGAAGAATCAGTAGATAGTTTAGAATCTTATACACTTACATAATTAGAAGAATCAGTAGATAGTTTAGAATCTTATATACTTACATAATTAGAAGAATCAGTAGATAGTTTAGAATCTTATATACTTACATAATTAGAAGAATCAGTAGATAGTTTAGAATCTTTTATACTTACATAATTAGAAGAATCAGTAGATAGTTTAGAATCCATGCGATTAGCGTTTCGTCGTTTTTGATATTTACGGTAGCCTTGTCTGACCTATTCACGATATGAAATATAAATTCACACTACAAATTCATATTTATTTGATATAACCTAATTTTATAGCCATTGTTTAATATATATAAGAATATGAAATGAATTTTCTTTTAATGTGTACAATATCTATAGAGTCTAACGAGTAATGAAATTTGCTATACTGGGAAAAAAGAATAATGCGATTATTGTTTACATAATAAAGGCTAAGGTTTAATATGTAAAGTCTTAAACACGGTAATCTGTCATAAGCAGACCTGTCATCAGGTCTGGTCAGTAGCAGATTTGTCCACAGGTCTGGTCAGATGCAAACCTGTCCACAGGTTTGGTCTGTGGCAGACCTGTCCTCAGGACTGGTCAGAAGCAGATCTGTCCACAGGTCTGGTCTGTGGCAGACCTATCCTCAAGACTGGTCAAAAGCAGACTTGTCCACAGGTCTGGTCTGGAGCAGACGTGTCAATAGGTCTGCAGCAGTCCTAAAGAAGCAGACCGTAGGTCTGGTCTACCAACAACGACGTTAACTTGCGTGTCTGCTTACAATAACTCAAGTTAACTTGAAAAGCAGTCAACAAGTCTTCTCCAAGTTAACTTTCGGACAGGTAAGGACTGCACCCATCTGTATCAACATATAGCAAAGGAAAAGAATGACATGTGTTACATTATGATCAGGATCTACCTATCCTTCCATAGCATCTAGGATCATCCTTGGTTTATGTTTCGGTTTATGTTTTACCGAGTCATTTTTAAAAAAAATTTTCGTTTAAAGGGAAAGTTGGCTTTTAGAGTTTTCAAATACCTCTGAGTCGTTAAAAATGTTCCTGGTGTTTTAGGTTTATTATGTGTCTTTTTTACCAGGATACATTTCGAAACGTAAGTAATGAGCAAAATGGAAAGAAAAATCATTCAACTCTAGTTTATAAGACACAGCTTTTACACAGTTTATATTTTCTAATGATGATGATAGATTTGTATTTCAAAATAGTAATACAACATATGAAAAACGATTTATTTCCATTATTTTTATGATGAAATAGTTTAATTAACCTTGTAGACAATTTTAAACAAATAAAGCTGATATATCAAACAAACAACGTTTATTTTGCATTTGTCTGAAATTATTATTCATTTATGTTACATTAAAATTTAATGTTTCAGATAATATATATGCATATGATAAACACTGTCAATATCTGACTTTTCGTCGAACGTTTGCTTTCCATTGTTTTAAGATAAATACCTGCTTATTCAAGAAACAGTGAAACAGACATATAAAAAGACCCTGTTTAAAGGAAATAAAATTAAGATTACTTCTAAAACAATAAAATCAATGATACCTGCATATAAGCATAGACAGGAATTACAATAGAGACTACCTCCATTTCAAAACTTTAAAAAATATTTCCGTTCTCCATTTTTACTGTATACCTAACAACATTTTTTTTTTCTTTTACTTGTGTACATTATTCTGTTTGGCGGCAAGGTTATTTGTTTAAGGTTATGGTTGACCTTTAGAAATTATTTAACATCTCACAGCGGTATACTACTGTTGCCTTTATTTATTCACCCCTTATTTTATTGATTTTGTATTTACATTGTGTCATTGATCAAATTTATTCGTTCAGTGTATTTTCACTTGTGTTAATATGTCTTTTGATTAAGTAAAGCCATTTTCAATTGATATTTTATAGTGTGTCTTTCCATGTTATACATGTCATAATGTTATACTATTGTTTCGGGTAAGGGTGAAGGTTGGTATTTATTAAAACGTTTAAACCCGCTGCATTTGTTTGCACCTGTCCTAAGTCAGGAACCTGATGTTCATTAGTTGCCGTTTGTTGATGTGGTTCATAAGTTTTTCTCCTTTCTCGTTTTTTATATAGATTAGACCGTTGCTTTTCACGTTTGAATGGTTTTACACTAGTCATTTTGGAGCCCTTTATAGATTGCTGTTCGTTTTGAGCCAAGCATTGAATGTCTTTTACATTAAATAAAAAAAAGAAGATGTACCTATAGTATGGTTGTCAATGAAACAACATTCTATTTGCGACCAAATGACATTAAAGTTAAAAACAACATGCATATTTCACCTTACATATTCTTTTTTTTTATGATCAATAAACCAATGATTTAGAATATGAACTTGCCATTGATTTTTGTCATAAAAAAAAAAATTCTGATGTTCAATTATTGGTGAAGTAAATGTTTTAAACATGGTTTTGATGTTACTATACGTGATCATGCGTGAAATCATAAGTGGATTTGTTTTACTGTTAACTATACAATCACCATATTTTTGTAAAAATGTAGGTTTTGTTCACTAATGTGATTTATTTCTTTGAAATATAATTGATTCGAAGATAAAAAGGTAATAGTATACAGTACCTGAAGAGAGTTGAAAATTGCAAATAGGTATTGGAAAATGACTAGATCATCGTTCACAGAAAAAGCACCTAGTACCCACGTTACTCCAAACAACGGCAAGATGACACAAATACTTTTCAAACCAATCCTATGAAGAAAAAAAAACAGCATACAGGTTTAATGTCATAAAACATTATAGAAAATTTTCAACTTTCTGTAGTGACATTTGAAAATAAATGTTAATGTTTTTGATATATTAACCGCATGCAGTCTTCACTATCAGCCAACCATATCATTGCGGGTATATTTATGTTTCATTGAGTAAAGACAAATTTCTATGTCATTCAAATTAGAAAAGTGATAAATATTAATCAGCAGGTCTTTTCTGTACCAGAGGAAACGGAATTATACGTTATTGTTTGCCTTTATCCATACAGACCATGTGTTGTTTTTTTTTTTGGATACTCCTAATTAGTTTTGGTATTACCAGTTATCTAAATGTGATTAATGAATTTCGTCATCCCTCAGATTTTGTTATTTCATATGAATTTTTTCTGATATTCATCAATACAAATTTGTTGATGATTAAAAAGTAAAATTACAGACATACTGAACTCCGAGGAAAATTCAAAACGGAAAGTCCCTAATCAAATAGCAAAAGCAAAAGCTCAGACACATCATACGAAGGGATAACAACTGTCATATTCCTGACTTAGTACAGACAGTTTCTTATGTAGAAAATGGTGGATTGAACCTAGTTTTGTAGCTAGGTAAACCTCTCACTTGTATGACAAGATAAATGTCATGAATGTATCAATCCTTTTTTTTGGCAGTATTCAATATGAAGACTGTTGACAATACGTAATAACAAACATCATGCTTCTTTGTAGCTATGCAGGTTTATTAACATTTCTTTTTTTTTATTTATAATAAATAACACAAAATAGATTTAACAAATTTAACGAATATGCCAATTATAGCATTAACGGTATCAAATATAAGATTTGACAAATTTTGTCGAGCGTCTGATTAAGTCAGGTTTTACGGACTTAGATTCTTTTCTAATTCACTTAAAAGAGTTCGGTATTTTTGTTAACTCTTTTCACTACCAATACTAAACTTACTTAGATTTCTCTTTAAGTGATTTCGCAGCAAGCCCTCTAGTGGTCATCATTTTATGCACAGTTATAATGATGATAATCAAATTAATCTGTAACATGCGATATAAAAAAAAAAATTATTACACATATTCAAAACAAAAGTGTTCTGAACATGAAGCTTCGGTCTTGCTTTATTATGTGTTACTCAATCTTAAGTTCTCTTTAAACAGATATTTAACAAGTTGTTTTACTAGTATAATTTTGGCGTCTCTTCGATATTTGATTTGTATTGTTACATGAATGTTTCATGTGCCATAAAACAAAAAACAGAAGAAGATAGCAATCCTAGTATCTGCCGTTGTTAAAAGAAGACATAAAATAATCATTTGAACGCTTTGCACTGACTGCGTCATAGTTTTTTTGTTTTATTTGTGTTTTTGTTAATGTTTTTACTTTCTTTTGTATTTCTTTTTATCATTTTGTTGTTGCATTTTATTTTTTAGAAAAAAATCAAATCATTTTCAAATGATGCGTACAATATATATTTGTATGCCTATCAAACATCACGTAAATCAAGAGTTCAAATTACTATGAACGAATAATTACAATTTCACAATTATATTTTTCAACGATATTCTTGAATATATAATGTTATTCGCCTTGCATGAACATACATCCATACATACCAGAATCACAAGTAATGCTGGTCCAATGAACGCCCAGATGAGATTTGATTCAAGGGTTAACCAACAACTGAAATGATTAAACAGCATTTCTTTTTGGGTCACAAATGAAAACGTAGGATCATAATCTAAAAGACATTTGTATCCACTGGGAATGAAACGCATAAAAGATAAATTGATAAGTATTAAAAGTATTTTAATATCTATAAATCGTTTTAAATTGTCTTGATTTAACATGTCCAAGTGGACACACGAAATAATCGATCCTTGATATTTGTTGTATGTTAAATGTGATTGTGGGGATAGCATACACAGACTTAATTTGATTCGTGGATAGTGCTAGACTTGAGTGATGAATATCTTTGTTTTGAAGCTCAATTGGGTCAAAGTTGAAACTTGAACATTTGTATTTGATGCATTTAATTGATCAACACATACAAAATTCCAGCATCATAATCATCATGGTTTAACGAATAATGTAAATACTTACAACTGTTGATTGCCATATCCGTTAAGTCTAGTCGCACTGGCCGAAATTCCAACTATACCAGCAGGAACAACTGGAAATAAAGAATCAATGATATTTTGTATCAAACAAAGCGTTATAATCACTAGAGGTGATATCAAAAAGTCAACCGCATGACAACAAATTTTATTTCTTAGTAACCTACTCCTATCAATTACAATCCTGAATATACTTAACTACCTTATCATTTTCATGACACAGCGATACATTTTACATCCAATGTTTTATGCTTTATCTTGTTCCACGCCCAATGATATTCATGTTTTTGACTCACCTTTCAAGGGGTTCTGTGCTGTTTTTTTTTTTATTTAAAGTCAATTGCTAAATGCTTGAAAAATATGCCTGCAGGGGCTTTCAATCATAACTTATAACAAGTAAATGTTTTCAGTGACCTTCATTTCTTCGTTACGATTATAACAAATGTTTTCATGTGGCATACCAAATGAATTATCATGATATTTTCTTTTTATTTCAAAAACACATTTTCTTTGACACATATGCTTCTTCGGATACAACATTACTATGATTTTTAAGAGTTTCCGCCATCAATTTGGAGTTATGCTGTTTTATTGTTTAATACTTACTCCAACATGCAGGTAGCAGCTTATGAACTATAGATCTGGTAGGGAAAATAATAACAACCATTCTCACTATATGAATAGCCTCAGCCAGCATCAGAGCAAAGTCTGTTAGGAACATATAATGTAAGGTAACTGCAATCGCTGAACATACAACCTTTGAATAGTATATATCAACAAGCATTACTAATTATATATAAATTTGTCAAAGGTTTACAGGCAGTAACGGTATCATTTTGACATTTGCTATCAAAGTGTGGTCTTTATTTCTATGATTTCAATAAAACGCAAGGTATTAGCTATTGCTTCTATGCTAGCAAGATTAAAAATGGTCAATGTGCATCACGCCTACGGATTCAGGTTTTAACACTTTAAAATTAGGGAATACAAATGCATAGCCCCCCTTTTAAACTGTTTTACTTTGTTGTTTGTCTTTTGTCGTTTTACACTATTTCGTAATGTTAATCTTTGGCTGATGTGATAAATATTCCTTCTGTATACTCCTCCTCTCTCCGTTTTAGATTTGAATCAAAGGGATCCCAAGTTAATAACTGTATGTTCTTACTTTGTTCTCTGTTCTTGTTATTCCAGCTAAGAATATAAAATACGACAGAATTAATGCAACGCATAAGTTCATCAGTGTTTTTGTTCTATCATTTGCCACATACCTACAAAAATAAACAAAATCTACTTGTCATAATGCGGTTATGCTCAGCAACTAATTGTTTTTCCAATGAACACACGAAAGAGGCCTTGTGTGTAAACTTTCCTTTCTGGAATAACTTGACAAATCCTTGATTTTGGTGGGGTGCGTGTTTCAATGTCCTCCATTGTTAAGTTATAGCCTTTTCTTAATGTTGTTTGTCTGTTCTAAGTATTTCAATTTGACTAAAATCTATTTATCTATCCTAAACCTACGAATTTTGATTCTACCTTGGTAGCTTCCGTATCTTCAAGAATATAGTTCTTGAAACTAAATTGTAACTTTAGGGATATATTTCCAACCAATTCTTTGTAATTGCTAACTAACTAACTACCCCTGTTTTTTTTTTGTGAACAAATATTTTCGCCAATTTGATAATTGCAAGTGCATATTTAAGGCAACTACGTTATTTCAAATAAAACAATGTAAATTATCAAATTTAAATAAGTATGACTTACTTCCATAGAACAAAATGAACGACAACTGTTATGACCAGAAACAAAATTGACACTCCACTTCCAATGGCTGATATCAGGCTAAGTGGTAATTGGTGAGACAATGGCTTGAAAAAAAATAAAAAATAAAAAATTGGTTTGACATCTATATCAAATACGGTTGCAAACTAATTATATTATATAATTATATAACATAAAATGGTTAATGAATTGAATCGATGTTTCTAACTTGATTATAATAATTAGATGGTACACATATAAAAAGAGATGAAAGATAGTAAAGAGAGATCCAAAATCACAAAGTGGTAGACAGATTGACAAATCCATTTTAAAAATTTATTTTTTCGAAATAAGGATTGTTTACCACAGGAATAGATTACCTTGACTGTATTTGTCAAACCCTTTCGGAAAGTATGGTCTTTAACTTTGTACGTTATTTGGCAAATTGACTTTTATAAATCGAGCGTCACTGATGAGACCTGTGTAGAGCGTCTGGCGTTGAAATTGTTTAGACTGATATTTTAACTGATATGACATGGAACGCAAGAAAATATACCTGAAACATATCTGCTGCCAAAAAAATTTAGCTAAACGGCATTTGCTATCCGTAATGGAAGTCAAAATGGAATGTGTGTAATGACAAGTTTAACTGATTTTCACAAATAAAGTTTAACCTACCAAACCTACGAAAGATGCCGGTACCAAGTCATGAATCGAAAAAAAAGTATGTCGTTACGCTAATTGACATAGTCAAGGGCTTTTGTTTTTGTTCGGTGTCATTGACCTCTCCTTTGGGATTTTCTTGCAGTTCGGCATCTTTTTTAAAGCGTATATTTTATATATAGGTAATTTAAACTTTGATATACTAGTACATATATCTTTTAGAATAACTAATGTACATACTGTCCTTCCTGGACTCATCAATATGGCAAAATTAGTTGTGTGATTGTATTCACATATCGTGTAAGAATCTGTAGCATCGACAACTTGTGAACCAAATGAGGACCAAGCTCCATTAACAGTATTTCTTTAAAAAAAGAAAATAAACATGTTACAAATTCTGTACATCTTCCGAAATAACATAATAGCTAAGTAATTTAAGTGTACTCGAAAACGTCACATAAGTGTTAACATTTTTTTTATATTTGAGACGTTCCATTGAGATGATGCATAATAAAACAAAATAAAGACAACATTCCAACATTATAAAGAGATCCGATAGGTTTCATTTTGATGACCTCATTTGGTCTAAAATATATGAGTAATTTGAAATATTACTAATCTGCTTAAGAAGTATAATTTAACATCGTTTTTCTCTTTGTTTTTTGGAGACACGTATTTATGTACACAATTGTTAATATTGAAGAAAAGGGTTAAGTGGTATCAAAATGTCTTCCCAAGAATTCATTTGTTTCTTATTTTTGATTTGCAATTTGGGAGACTTATCGTACATTAACAGCCCAACAGATATTGCTAGCCAATATTTGTATTTTACACAGATACAGCTTTAGAGCTACGCCATCTGCCGGACAATTTTTATGTATAGCTGTTGACAAGTGTTGTATGAACTTTGTGACCTAAAAATGTGTATTGCAATCGCACTCCATGACGTATGGCTCCATCTTTGAATGTTCCAGTCTCCGATTCGCAACCAACTTTCATAGGCAAACAAGAACAGCAGGATTTAGCCGATTTTGTACGACGCCAATATTCAAGTTCAAAACTTGAATGTTTAAATCACAAAATTAACCATGCAACAATGTCAATTATCAGTGAATACTTTATAGTACACGGACAATTCAAAATTCTGAACCGAATGAGAAATCAAATATTTTTAAGCGATGTTTTATTGTTGACTATGCGAGATTCTTTTCACCGTACCGGTCATTATCTGGTTGTGTTATTTTTATTCATATTCTACACGGGCCTCAAAGAATTATAAATCGAAAATAAATGCAACAAATGTGAGTTTTTCTGTCTTTGAAAGCAAACAAAATGTACAAAATTAATTGCTGGATAAAGACAATAACTGTTTAGTGTCTGTACATATGAGCTGTATTTGCACTCGGCTCGAAACAGCAATAATAGCTCGATGAACATGATGAAGCTCGCATTACACCTGTTTCTTAGCCTCGTATTTACAGCTGATATTTAAAGACAATAATCGTTATTGTCTATATAATTGGATTTCGTTAATTGTTCAAGCAGGAATCAGAACGCTGGTTTTCTCGTGTAATTTGTTTTTTCCTTTTTGTGATGTAGTGGTATGTCATAGCCTACTTTATAGTATGCATTGTTAACATTGCTATAGTCTTTTGTCATACATCCATCGTTGGTGTTTTGTATTTAGTAGCTTCTTTGACCATCATTGCATATGCCGTTACTGTCATTTATAATTTTATACTTACGGAGCACTGAAATCCCAGAATCCACAAAAAGGTCTGGAATAGTCTCCCTTGTAAAATAGATTATCAAAAGTAACAATTGCGTAGTCTTCAAATTTGAGTCATAGAATCATTTTCTGCAGATCCTTCATGTGTTATTTGTAATGATTTATATGCTATATGTAATGTGTATATATTTTGCATCTTATGGTTAATACTTTTATATGAGAATGGATATATGTTGTAAAGCACTGAGGGTAATTTTAATATTATATAATGTGCTGTTATAAATACTGTATAATAATAAATTAATAAAAATAAAATAAAACCTCTCGGGTATTAATGAACAAATATGAGCTTTAAATGCATATTCATATTCATAATTCGTCAATATTATGTTGCCTGCACATGTGTACGCTTTTGAATATGTATACCCTTGAATATAATTAATAACAGGAAAATCATTGTATATACCAAAATAAATATGATGAAAAATAACCTAGGAAATTAAAGTCGAAATATGACGAAAGATTAATAAATAATGATAATTTCCACCTTGAAAACTTATTTATATGTAAATCAACATGGTACATGCACTGTGGATTTATTTATTTTCGTTGGTACTAATTTTCGTGAATTGAGGAAAACTTGCATTTTCTTGGATATTTGATTTCGAGGGTTCTGCCAAAGTCTGCATACATTCTTATTGAAAATTTGTAATTCCTTGTTCTTTAAAACTCGTGGTTCCCGGGTTACCACGAAATCCACGAAAATTGATATCAAACGAATAAAAATGAATCCACAGTATGTAAATTATAAAATATCTTTTTATCTATCTTCGTACATGCACAACTATTCTATGCATCAAGATAAATTCACAAACAGTAGATGTAGTGAGTTGTAACAGTGATAGCTAAATATAAAGACGGAAAAAAATATATAACTTACCAAAATATGATCGAATTTTATTAGTAAGGAAAAATTCGAACAAGATCTTCCATGAATCGTAAAATCAGCTATAATAGAATTTACATCATAACTCCCATTAAAAGACTGTATTTCCCTGAAAATTAAATAAATAAACTTTACGATTGATTGGTCTTTCACGCCATGATGAGCACACTTTGTTTTTGAAGCCAGAAGGCCCAGCATGAAGCATAAAACATCGGCAGGAGAGCTGATATCTTAGTCTATCAGGATCAGAGTCGATTTAATTGTTATACTGTAAACATGGAACAACCAGGAAAGTATTAATAAGAAAATACAGATGCAGGTTTCATATACTATAGAAAGCATCAGTGTATAAATAATCAAGATGTCACCTTATATTCTTCTAGTTGTTGAAGTTCACCTAGTGAGAATTGTATATTTAAATTGAATACCTGTTAAGCTTGTTTTTTGTTAATTGGTGTGAATGATAAACTAATGTGAGAGAAATGGGCAGAAGATATAATCGATTATACTTTGATTCTAAAAATCTGAAACTAAAAATATGTAACTCACCCATTTAATATTAAATACTCCGGAAAAAGTCTTGAAATATTTCTATAGAATGTGCTACTATATCCCGTCAAACCTGAACAAAGAAATCCTCATCGTCTATCACATTCGTTTTTACTTCGATTTATAAGTATTGACAACTATATGTAATATGAATGTAATGATATATACAGTCATCCAAAATTATTGCTCACTATAAGTTTTGCCCTTTATATAGTGATATATTGAAAAAATTCACATAATTCTTATACTGGCAACATGAGTAAACCCTGTGGAGATTTATTTCCTTGAAACACTTGTTATGTTTATTGTTAATTGCCTTGTTTCGTTTTGATGTTTATGTTTCAATGCATTGAAAATATAACCTTTAAAATGATATATTAGTACATTGTTTTATGATGTAGGTCGTTTGTCAGCGTTTAACGGTAACGGCTTATCTGTATAATCTCAATTACCCGTTTCATTTATTTCAGATCTGCTGATTCAATTACATATAGAAATACATCTTGCCATTTAAAAAAAAGAAGAAAAACACGTAGCTTTTAGCAAAGAAAGAATTGTTTAAAGTTCCATGTAGTTAAGTGTCATTATTCTATAATAAATGATGACATAGTCTATTTTAACTTAAAATTTAAGTTATATGCAATAAATATAAACACAAATCATTACATTTTCTGGCCTACAGTTAAGATATAAATCGAGGAGTAATTGATACTCCTTTTGGATTAACATGTCCAAAAACATGGAATAGTTGTAACTCCCTCTCTATTTTTACATGCTGTTTTATTAACCGATAGTTTTACTTGTGCCATATGAATCAATGGCTATCTCATAAATGTAGCATAAAATTGAAAATGGAAATGAGGCATATGTCAAAGTGACAACAACCCGACCAACGAATTAAAAAAAGCCCAATGTGTCTTCAACACAGGGAGATAATCACGCACACGGGCCGGACTTCAGCTGGCTGGTAAACTAAAATATATACTAGTTCATAAGCTAGACTACTTAACGTTTTAGATTTACAAATTGACAAATATCATAATTCAGTTCAATTGCGCACGGAACTTCATCTATGATTGCACCATTGAATATATATATATATATATACATATAGACATATTTGTTGAAAATCAGAAATTAGTAAGTGATAAATAATTAAAAAGAAATGTCAATCCATGATCTATATAACAACACCGGTCAATCAATGAATTCGTCAATATTCTATCGAATGTGAGGGTTCCCGTTTAGTTTTTAACTAAAACATATTTTAGTAGGTTTGTTTCAAAACTCCTTGGTTGATCTTGCTTAGTACTTAAATCAGTATTATTTACTTACCGCTACATCTGTTCGTCTTCAGTTTAATTTCAGTCGCTGAATCTGCTATCCAAGAATCAGATGTTTTCGAACGATCAGGAACAATTATCTCATCCGAACTAGCCTTCCCTACTTCAATTACTGAAATAATTGATTAAATTCGAATGACTGATTAATGGACTATACATTTGTATATATAAATATATCAAACGATGCATACACATGCATTCATAGTAACACTTTCGAATCATATAGACAAGCTTTATTGTTGTATTTCATGCTGTTTGGTTTTAGCCGTGTAAGTCCTCGTGTGGTTTATTTTATTTACAGACACGAAGAACAATCGATACCGATGATTATTATAAATGTTACAATACACTTTCGAGCCTCTTGTTGACAATTGAAATATTTGACTGAATAGCGAATTCTTTCAGTCAATGCATTTATTTTCGAACAACGTCAGCATCAAGTTTCAAGTTTTCAAATAAATCATGCAAAATGTCTATCGTGCAAAATATGATCCTTCATGCTATCGTTTTCTTTTGTCGCCTTGAGATGCAGATAAAAATATTGTTTCTTTTGACCAAACTGATTCGATTTTTATCGCACAATAAGAGATACGCAACTGATAATGGACGGCAAGAAAACTAATAGTGATGAAATTTATATCTATTTATCAACTTCGAGTAAAAAAAGCCTGGTTTTTGTTCCTTTTCAACCTGTTCTCCTTTTAACATTTCAACAATGTTACTTGTGTTATTTTAAGTCCGTGAGCTAATTTCGTGTGTACAGATAATGTCTTTAAAGATTGCACAGATATCAGACAGAGAAAATACGTATTTGATAAACACTTCTTCGAGAATTTGTAAAACATGTAAGTAATTGAATGTTTCTCTTATTTAGTTTATAACAGTGTTTTGTGTCAGAGAAAAGCCATTACACCAACCGTATAAAAAACAAATCGATTGAAAAAAACAACGACAATACATCCGAAGCAAACAAGTTAAAAACATACCAACATTTTCTTTTTCAACGATTATTGAGAATTTACCGTCTACAACATTATTAAACGCATTATTGTACTCTGTAACTGCGTTTACAAGTGAAGTAACACCACCTAATCCCTAATGAAAAAAGTATAAGTAGAACATTGATTAGATGTCTGAATTATATTTGCATCTATTATCTCTGTGGTACAAGTGAAGCCATCATTGATTATGCTTCCGGAGCATACAAGTACATTGCCCAATTTTCGGAAGGTTATTTTGGCAAATCATTTTAGGAATTTAGCTCTACTTGGCTTCGGACGCATGAAATTTATAAACTTTTTTTTTTTGAAGAATATCATTGGCAAGAACGATTAGGCGCATTTTTTGTCTTAATAAACGTTGTACACTAGTCATTTTGGGCCCTTTATAGCTTGTTGTTCGGTGTGAGCCAAGGCTCCGTGTTGAAGACCGTGCGTTGACCTTTAATGGTTTTTCTTTTACAAATTGTGACTTTGATGGAGTTCGTCTCATTGGCACTCATACCACATCTTCTTATATCTATTTACAACCTCATTGTTGAGTTTTTCCCATGACTGATGGTTACTATCATCTAGTATGTTGTCGCAAAGAGAACCAAAGATCTGAAATACAAAATATTATCATGATAATAGCTTTATACATTATGGTAAACAGTGTGCTACTTTATGTTATAAGAGTTGGTAAATTCTAAATACTCATTTGAATATTTGAATAAACAAATGTTCATAGATCGAAAGAGATGGTCAGGACGTTCAGCTTTTACTGTAAAGTTCTTATTTAAAACGGTAAATCGCGACCTAATTTTTACGGTGTTGTTTTTTATAAAGATTCATGTAAATAATTGATCCTTTGAACACACAAAGGTTTTCAATGTAACACAGTAGCAAAATCTTTAAATATCATTTATATTGGTATAAACGTTAACTTTGTTTTTGATTAAAAAGTTAAAACATAATCAAATATAACTTGCTATACATGTACAGTTATTGCAACTCATTATACATCTTGTCGATACTGTTCACCGATATTTTTGCAATGCACAAAGTAACACTGTTTATGACGTATTTTAAACTAAATCTGTTTGATGGATACTGATTGATAATTAAGTGTGGGAAACATGATTTATTTATTAGTTGTAATATGCTTTGAACTAACTTCCAATAACTGCGAGTACTCTCATCGCAGTCCATTGTGTCAAATGTTTTGTTTGTGACTCATCATTGTGTGTATCCAATTGCAACAAATTTGTACATTTTGTTCTAACGTTGTGCTGTTACACCACTGTCATAGGTTAACGGGGAAAAGGGGGATAGAGCTCTCACAAACATGTTTAATCCCGCCACATTTTTATATGCATGTCACAAGTCAGATAAAGTTAAGAATATCGTTGTTTTTCTATTTGCTTGCACCCTTATGCCTTTGATAGTTTAATTTTGTTCAGTCACAATGCTTTATAATAAGAACGATCTGGAAATAATAGTGATAAATGAAAGTTTTGTTTGTATCTTGAATCTCTACTGGTCCATATGAACATATTGTATGGATACATGTAATGTATTACATCGTAACGTACCTGTAGTTGATCAACTGTAAGTTTTTCAGTGTGTTCTGTAACATACTTGGCAATATCATTCAATACAGCTGATGATGTCAGCAAATCACCAGAACGTAATCCATGTTTACCCTTTGTTATGTTTTCTAAATCTCTCAATATAGTGCTCACAAGTGTATCGTCACTCTCTCCAGATAAAAGCTTAACTGTCTAAAATGATTGTTTTTCATACATTATCAGATAACTTTCTATCGTTTCTTTAGAGATACTTCAAATTATGATATTCGAAGAAAACTGACAAGCAAGTTGATTAAATAGCAATATCTTGTATCTATAATCATAAGTGTATTTTGTAAAAGTACCTTTACTTTCTGCAAACAAATAACGCATATAAATCCGTTAAAAGGATGTATTTTGTCATATTAACAGTACGCGAATTCGATATGTTACATTCACTCAATATATAAGTAGGCATTGATTATATATTTTTTGGGTCGGGTTGTTGTCTCTTTGACACATTTCCCATTTCCATTCTCAATATTATAGCGTTATTGGATGAGTAGACTTTGGTTTATTTTATTATGTTTGAGCTTTTCACTTTGAATTCGACAGAATTATATTTTTTTTATTTCAAACAATTAATTTCAATTGGGATAATACTGGTTATATATCGCTATGTTTAAAGCTATACTTTCAGATTCACACTGTTAATAACATGTATACTTTATTTTTGAAGATCCGCAATAGTTGATTATTCTCTTAATTAAAAAACAAATTGTGATTCATCACTTGCTTTCAATGTAGAATATATTTTTTATAAAAAAAACATCGTTGAATTATATTGAGAATAAAGGGATCATGTTTAGTTACATCTTTATGTTTGTTTCATACATATGTCTGATTGAAGTTGACAATTTAACAACATATTTAGTTTTTTTTTAGAACAAATAACTGGCAAAGATTTTGAGAAAATATAAAACAAGTGTCATGTATGAAAACAACCAATTTGTTGATCGTATTACATGTACCTGGTCTTTCAGATTTTGTATTGATTTACTTATACAATTGATGTAGTTCGGTTCCTCCCACTTTCCATCATTATCGCAGTATCTCGAAGCATTACCAGTGTATTCACCAGTGCAGGCTAATGTAGCGTGTGTATTTGCTGCTGCTATATTCCATTTAGTATTAAATTTGTCCAGATTTTCTCTACAAATATTTGTCGAATCTGTAATACGTTAAAAAAGAATTAACAAAAATATTAGATCTAAGGTAAATTAAAAAAGGGGAAAGTCCATTAAACATGACAAAATCAAAACGCTCGACTATTAGTATATCGACCAACGACCTCAGTTTATAAGTACGACACTATGTGTCTTTGAAAAAAATTACAAATGTTTCTAAGCATGTATGATTTGGACTATTTCTTGTTCATCATATCTTATCGATCTTGTCAATGTTAATGCCATCAAAGTGACGTTCAAATAACAATGTTACATAATTAGGTACGTCGACAGGATAAGCGCCATCTGGTATGCTTGCATGACCAGCCATGCGAATTCATAATCTTTCAAAACATAACAATCGGAAAAACACAATCGCTTAAATTTCAAAATATAGGATTATTCTGGTATTTTAGATATGTCGATATTGAATTGAAAATAAGGTCATATCGTATCGGTCAACCTATGTGTGATGGTTACCGTAAGACTATGAAATTATAATACAGTATTAGCATTTCTTGTTTAGTGTTGGGCTAGAATACATAATTAAACAAGTGAAACAACCCTGAAGACTGTTGCTGGTCATCAAGAAAATGCTTTTCTTGGACGAATCAGTCAAGAAAATGGTACTTCCGCATGGCTATCTGGTTGGAATACAATTTTACATGCTGTTCTCTTTAATAACTGAATATGCTGAGCACAAAAGTGTCAAATTAAATTGATTGATTGATTGATTGATTTTAAACGCCATTTTCAACACTATTATGCAATTTCGTGGCGGTTAGTTTTTGTTCGTGGTATGAAACCAAAGTGACCAAAGTGAACCACTGATCGTCGGTATGAAACTGGCAAACTAGTCAAGTAAGATATGAGTCGGGCGCACATGCCAATTGTGGGATTCGAACAACCAACCTCAGTGGTGACAGGCTAGTGATAGAGTAGTTCGACTTCTTAGACCACTCGCCCATCTAGGTTAGATTAAAGGTTGCGTGCATGCAATCAAAATGATTAAATGATTGTCTGTCATTACAAATACATTATACACACAGATAAATCATTAGATATTATTGAGTAAAAATGCAACAAGATATATGTAAATTATACTAGATATTTTGAAAGATATGTCCGTCGATGGATTTATTCCATAGTAAGCTATTTTGTCAAACTGAAATGATGAAAAAAGCAATTCATCCAATGTATCTCGAGATTCGGCACGAACAATTGAAATGAATGAATTTAATAACTTTTGATACATTACGATAGGTTCATGATTACTTAAAAAAAGTAGTATGTTACCTTACGATATCATTTGTACTTGTCTTGTATATTGGTTTTCTAAGCAAACATTTTAACTTTGTTTAAAGGCGTGAAACTGTTCAAGGCGTAACACCCTTCCGTTGGATATATCTTTTGATAGCCTTACAAATAGCTATCAAATCTATATAATTGACATACCTTTCTACCCACACTTGATTATGTCAAGAAGTTCCGTTACAATAAATAAATCCGTGTTATTCAAGCGATAACTATAATTTAAAGGGTTGATTTATTTCAATTACGACGTTTCATAATAAAACGACACAATGAAACAAAAACTTGTGTAAATAAACCTGTTCCATTCAAATGGATTTTAAAAATCACACTAAAGACATAGCATTTTATTGTTCAATGTGGAGGTTTTTCTAGCTTTTCGAAATGTTTAAGCTTACACCCAATTAAATATTGCAACGATTTACGACAAAATGATAATTAAAGGGGTGATGGAAATACTATCAGAAAACCTGGGATCAAAATATTATTATAAAGATACAAGGATGTGTAGCTCATAAGTTTATTTGTTTAGGCAACAAAGTGTTAAACATCTTTTTCTATTATTAATTTTAATTTACAATTTTTTTTTTATCAAATGCTTGACCATGGTTCTAGTTCCTATTTCATTTTAAATATATATTTATAATATCCAGGAGTAACTTTGATTAAATTACAAAAAATAATAATTTTACAGTATAAGAAAGAATCAATAATGTCTTATGCATGTACGGGATTTGTCTCTTCCTAATTGATTTACGAGATTTAAACAAAGGTAAACTACTGTCGCCTAAATAAAGACAAGTCCATATCTTTCCGTTCTTAAATATTAAGCAGGTACTGAATATCTGTATTAAAAATTAACTAGTGTAGATTGACCGAACACAGGATAGTTCAACATATATGAATTCGCCTCAGTTCATATTTCTGAAGATTGACTTGCAGACTGAATACGAGTAACAAATCAGCCTTTCAAGAGTGTATCAAAGGTTACAAGCCAGAGGAATACTCTAATTTATCATGACTTTGAGTTAATTTGGATTATATCCCTTGTCTTTTTTCCCCAAATTTGATTTGCAGTAGCTGATAATTTGTCAGAATTTGTCAGAATTACAAATTACAATGCACTTATCTCCCAAATGTCAAACCTAAAACATGTTTCAATTATTTTGATCGATCAAGATGCTTCAGATAAACATGGCCATTTCATTTACAAATAGGATCACAAATACTTGTACGGATACGCAAACTATATCAAGATTACAAATACAATACCTGTACTCACTTGTCACGTATACAGTTGTACATTTCTTTTCGGAAGCTTGACTGCAATAAAAAGTAATGCATTTCAAAGATTTTAAATGATATTTTAAAAAGGAAAGTCGCGTTATTGCTGAGTTAATTAGATTCATGATTATTCGATAGTATCTACAATCTACCAGTCAAGATGTGATTTATGTGTACCTGATGTATGAGCTGTGCATTCTAAGATTACTGAACTATGCAAATATTGCATATAAAAGTTCACCATGTATACAATGTCAATTTCAATTGACACCAAATTCGTTCAATATTCGTTTATTTGTAGGACTCTTAAATTCCAGTCGTTAGTGTGTTGTAATTCATTTTATTTTCTCAGAACATCAAAATTAGAAACTGGTAATTCAGATTAGAATCTTATAAATCGGTAATCAAAACACATAAATTTGAGATATATTATATGATTTATATGCCTGTGACGGAAAACTGTCAATAACAAATGTGAGCTGAAATTATACTGTTGTCCCCCCGATCGCAATATAGAATGTACTACCAAACAAGTAAAAAACTAGAATTAAAAAAAAACGGTCAACTTATACCATATAATTTCTACCTAGGTATAGTTTAACCCTTAAACCGTGTCATTCTCATCTATTAATATGTTTTAAGTTAATAATTCTTTGTCAATATAATTTTATGTATTCGATCATTCATAAAATACCTATACTCCATGAAAGCATTAACTTTTCACTGACAAACAAGATGACAAAAAGATAAAAAGAACAATACTACAATTAGATACTAGATAAATGAATAAATAAATATACCTAAATAATAAAAACATAAAAATTGGATGATATTTAATATAAAACCCGTGATGGTAGATTACATGACATCTTTGTTCTTTCCTCACATTCATTCTGTAGTGTTAAATAAATTTTACATAGCATTTACAAGAAACATTCTTTCAGAATTTATCATGGTACCATTTGTATACCTTTAAAATTGCTATCATCTATCTATTTATGATATAAGTACATTGATTAATAAAGAAACTTGACAAGGATAAAACATGAAGTTTTTCTGAATTTTAAATCGAATCTTATACTATTTTTTTCGTCTAATTAATGCTATTTCATAGGTTAACTGAACACTTAAAAGTATTGTCGTTAATGTTGCTATGAAAAGTTTACCTGATACTATCAAAAGCTGTATAACATAAACTATGATTTCCAATATCCATCTCTGTAGGTGTCCATGTGACGTTGACATACCATCGGTCGTTGGATGTCCCATACTTTAACAACCTCGATTTGGATATTTCTGTCGAGGTAAGAACGTTTATTTCGGAAATTCTAAAAATTAATTAAATATACTACTTTATTTTCTCAAAAAAATAAACAAAATCAACCCTTCAAATAATTAAAGTCCGTCAGTGCGGTAAGCAAGCAACACTCAATTAATTACAACGTAGAAGTTCAATGTAAATACATGTGGGACACTATTCCGTCAAAATGAACAATGCTGAACTTCATTATCAGTTTCACATACACACTTTTCATTAAGTAAAACTGTTCCAAAATTCAAACCCAAAATAGCATTTCGATTAATAACATAAATTACTTAACCGTCAAGGCTATGACACACATTGTTATATATAAATATCTTAATTGCATCTATAATCAAACTGTTGAAAAAATGCACACCCAAGTCTGCAAGTACTAGTGGTTACACTTTATGAACAAGACAATGCCTATATGAGGAAACGTCAGTAAATCCTCTCTACAGCACTCTATGGAAAGAAATCAAACCTTTATCGACAGGTTCACTGTAAACAGAGGTAATTGATGGGACCCAAATGTTTTTGTTTTATTTACGGAACATGCATTTAATTATACACTCATATATTACTCACCCAGCTCCTATTGCTATAATAGTCTGATGGTACGTAGTGTTCACAGGAATTACGACGTTAGAATTAATATTGGCTAATTCTGGTTTCAGTTCACACGATTCATTTGAGTCATTCTGTGTTACATCGATTACAAACTGCAATGGAACACTGCTTAAATGATTGTCTCTTTGTTCCGTGGCAAAATCCTCAATCTGTAGTGCAACAGCGTACAGACTTTGATCAACAGTTGTGTTATACGAGATAACGCATGCATCCTTAAAAAAGAGACACTCAAAGTTTTAATCAAAAGTCTCTTAAACAGGAATAAAACAAGATGAGAAATGCGCTTTGAGCATGTTGAACATTTTTTCATCAAAAAAGTTACGGAGGGAAATATGAAGTACGAGTCTAAGGATTGATTGAAGTCGGTTCTGTACGAACGATTTTGGATAATTTTAGTGTTATTTTCATCTCCAAAATACAAGTACAAGTATAGATAATTGTATGAAAAAACATGTCATATATAATGTAATATGCAAATACTATTACACATATATGATATTTGATAAAAAAGAATCCAATGACATCAAATAAATATTACACCAAGGTCAGCCAGATAATTGTAATTTTTTCAAAAAAAACTTTCCTTTCAGTTTGTCGAGATATTACCATCCAGAGTAACAAAAATGTAACTGTATATCCAGTTATTTTAGAAGACGGATATTCTATAATCTTAAGATATATTTAAAAAATCTTTCAATTCTTTTCTGTCAGTATAAAAGCCGTGTATATATTTTTGTCGTTTTAAAATTATCTCTAAATTCATACCACTTTTTAACAAAATATGAAATACAACTGAATCCCATTACTCATATTTTGCAACCAGTTCTTCAATACTGGAATTGAAATATGCTGTTCTTAAATTGCAAAATGTATCTATACCATGCAAAGCTTTTATTCATTTGCTCAGGTTTAGCTTTACCTCTGATCTTTTTGTTTTTCAACGTTTGTTTTATGTTTAAATTTCAAAATATTTTGGTTTCACTGTAGAAAGATTAGTTTTCAAAATGCTCATCGGTAGCAATAAAGGTGGTATCCATAATCTTATTGTAAACAACATCTTTTGACAATTTTTTTTTGGTTACTGACATTGATACATGAATGGGCGGATTTGAAAATGATACTATTATTGGTGGTGTTTAGTCGTCTAATTGAAGTATGAAGGTTGGAAACATTTACGTTAGATATCATTTCATTTCTTTTGTTATATCTTATATAAACATTCAAAAGGTACAAGATGGAATATCAAGCATTTTTTGTTGACTAACGTTTGTCAATAATAAACCAATACAAGCAATACGTTAGAGAAAATCTTTCAAAAAATGTCTTTTGCGACAAATCTTCCTTTCTATCTCTAGCAAACAGAAAAGATTGTTTTTCTTTTCATTGGCGTCTAACATATATATTTGAGCATGCCTGTACCTTATTCAATTCTGAATTAATCAGATTGTTACATACGCCGCCACATTCACTACTGCCACTTGCCCATCGACATCCTATTATATCATTGTCTCCGTCTTCGACTGTATCATTGTTTACATGGAATAATATAGAATATAACATACTGATTTTTATGACCTTTTTAATAAATACAGTTGACCCTCGATATAGCTCAAAATGAAAACGCCTGTATATAAAACGTCCTATTTTAACATGGGTTTAAGTGATAAAATAAAACTATTACTACTCCTATTATCATCTCAAATTAAGAGTTTAAATCCAAATTGATAATGTAAGTGTAATATATTTATTACGTGATAAAATGGTTTTGGCTTATTTTCACATAATAATTCGAATTTCGAACTTTTGTATGATTTGTTTAAAATGGCACAGGTTTACGCTTTTGTGGACGAAATGCATATATTTTAGTGTATCATGAACAGCTGAAATCACCAAAATCAATGGGGTATCTTGGATGTATTTCTGTTGATTATTTTTTTTTAAATGAGCAGGTGTTACCTGTGTTACCTGTCAAAGACTATAAAGTCTCATAGCTAGCAATGTACAACAGTCTTACTTTTTGTCAAAATTAAATAAATAAAAAAATCTATTATTTGGATCCCTTATCATTGCTAAGGAATTCATTATTTTGTACTTTTTGCAATACCATTTCATAACCAGGACAATAAAGTGGAAATACTTAAAAGAGAGGCAAAAGATACCAAAAGGGAGCCACGAACAATGATATTACCAGTTTTACTGCATTTTTTGCATAATTTCTGTTGCAAAATAAGCTGGTATACGGAGTTGCCCTGAGATTGGTCATGTTTCACGGACGCCATCACGAGTTTGTTGACCGTTACGGAATATCCGTTTCACAGATGATAGCGGATATGTTCCTAATGTCGTAACTACAATCCCATCCCCTTTTCCCGCATGTGACCTACCGAATTAGAATTATTACCGGGTTTGTATTAACATGAGCAACACGATGGGTGTCACATGTGGAGCAGGATCTGCTTATTCTTCCGGAGCACCTGAGATCACCCCTAGTTTTTGGTGGGGTTCGTGTTGCTCAGTCTATAATTATCTATGTCGTGTTTTGTGAACTAATGTTTGTCTGATGGTCTTTTTAATTTTTAGCCATGGCGTTGTCAGTTTATTTTCGAGTAATGAGTTTGAATGTCCCTTTGGTATCTTTCGCCTCTCTTTTATTATGCATTTTATTTATGGTGTCATTATCTAAGCAAACAAAGAAAATAAATCTACACGGTTTGTTTTTCAGGTAACGTTTTCATGTTATCAAAGTATTATTTAATTAATAATTCTACATGAAATAGGAAATAATAAACAGGTCGGCGTGCTTTTAGTCATTATTTACAAAGATTCCCGTTATTTACTCATTTTCACTAAAACTAATTTTGCATTTGTTTCCTATCTTATAATAGTGTATGTTGAATTATTATTAAAGACTTGTTTTTATTCAAACTAACATACTATACGACACTTTTCACAGGAAACTTCTGCCTCATATAAAATAATGGTAGTCAGGTATACCCAATTGCGATAAACTGTATCTTCTTATGTAATCAGATAAAAAAAAATTGAGGGATATCATATTCTTCTTTCATGTATTTATGATGTTTAACGAAAAAACCCAAGAGAAATGATACCGGAAGAAAAAGAAATACAAGAAAGGATTTCTGTACAAACGAGGAAGTCTGAAAAAAGTTAACGATTTTAGTTTCACAAGTATATTGATTTTTATATTGTTTTTGTTTCTTTTATTGAGACTTCTACTGTTATTGAGAAACTCGTATTTATTTTCGTTTCTTTTCACCAATACTTTGCAATACACTCATTCGATCTGCTTTTTGTTTTTAGTATGTTCATGCATGATCTAAGTTTACATAGCTTTATCACTATATAATTATAACAACTAAAACTAAAGATTTGTACATGTACAGATAAAAAGATACAAATATAAGTGTTAAGGATGTATTCTTCTGACGTTTCAGTCACGTTGAAATCTCGTTCTGGAATTATTTCCAAAACATGTAATACAAGTCGAAAATATCAATGAATTTAAAAAAATATTATAATCAAACTTAACTCTGTGAAAAAATTGTGTATTTACAATAAGAAGTTTTTCAGTAATAAAATTTTCAAATTTTATATTCAATCAAGTCAATCTCATTAGCCAAAATGTTGACAATATGGGTGAGGGGTACAAGAAATGATTTACCAGATACATGTACATTCCATATCAATTTTTTCTTTTCAAGTTTATTAGATATGTATTTTTTCAATCACTTATAACAATATGCTTTTTGTTCTAAAAAAAAGAGAAAAATCCCAACTTTACAAAATGGACAACATGGTAATTTTGACACGAAAAAGCAACAAAATTTTATGAAACTTTCTTATATTAACACCTACCCATAGTTTTTTTAAGTTAAATTTATTCAGATTGGTCCACTTCATCCTTAGTGAAAGTATGAAAAAAAGGTTTAAGTGTGAAACTGTGATTTTTTTTCATGATAATAGCCCAAAAATGGGTAAAAATTGATGAAAAATAGGAATATCATCAACATTAGGTACTTTCAAATGGCTGTAGCAAAAAAAGAAGTGCACCACCATATGATTGTTTCTTCACCAATTTTTTTTTACAGTCATATAAACCCAAATATCAGGTTAAGAAAAAAGTTTAATTCTAGAAATTGTTGGCTCCTCAAAGCAGTACATCCTTAATTAATCAAAGGATAGGGGGTATTTAAATCATAATAAGGGATTTTTCACACTTATTGAAACGTTATTGGCAGTGCATAAAAAGAAATAGATCCTGTTTCAACATGAAATATATCTGACTCAACACCGTTCTATTTTCAGTTTTAACATATTTTCGGGATAGTCTAGATTTGACGTAATGATACATAACTTCAGGGATATCATTGGCTAATATAATAATTACAAGAACAAAATGACAACGGACTGTTCTCTCATCCTTATATGCAACGCGTAGACACTAGGTCTATATTTATATGGGATTACGTAAATAATGAATAAAAAGATACGACTATATGTGTTTGCTTTTGAGATACATTAATTTGGATGGACATTTGATTTCAATAAGAAAACAAAATTAATAAATATATCATATCACTGTTCTGTTACATCCGGATATATATATATTTCTGCGATCTAAAGATAACAGCACGTTTATAATGAGGACATGTTTTGACATATCGTATCATTGATATGTTCATTTTTTAGTAAATCAACTTTTTAGAAAATATTTAAATATTGTTTTTCTACCCCCGGGCATATATTGCTTTTGCTTTTTTTGGCATAACATTTTTGGAATTTTCATTTTGTCGTGTTCTTCTATTTTGTTTTTGATTTGGCTTTTCAACTGTTTTGATTTGAGCGTCACCGATGTGTCCCATCTAGACGAAAAAAAACGCATGTCCTATATATACAATATTCTGCTGTTGTCTGTTCTATGGTCGGGTTGTTGTCTCTTTGACACATTCCCCATTTCCATTCTCAATTCTAATTATAATCCTGATACTTGTGATGAGTTGTGTTATACACTACAACAAACTAGAAATAAAATATGTCTCAAATCATTAAACAGATTTCAACTATTTATAAATTATTGATGTTCATAGTAAATAAAGAACCTAACGTCTTATAATAGTCACAGGAAATATGTATTTTCCTAACATTCTGGTTTTGAAAACGTTATCAAATATTCCAAAACTGATTACAGTACTAAGTATTTCATTGTTAGCAAATATTAAGGGGTCAATATGAAAAATATATTTCCTAGTTCTAGAATCAAAACTATGATAAAACAAAAAAGGCATACCTGGAATTGTCAATACATAAAAACATCCTTGTTTTAATTGAATAAATGGTGGTACAGATGATGTTGGTGGAGAATTGATTTTACCAGTATCTTGGCGTTTAGATATATTAACAGTTGATAGCAATGACCAAGCAGATCCACCTCCAATTATATCTATCCAAGCTGAACCACTGTATCTAGTAATCATAACTTATTTAGATTAAAAGTGTTGTCATGTTAACCAAAAACAAAGAAATTGAGCTTATGACAAAGTCAGGGACATGTGGCTAGCAACAGCAATATAAACTGTTGGTTTGTATAGTTTTTTACAGAATAGAGAATAATGGATCAATACTTCAGGAAAATGGGATAAGAAAATAAGGAATAGAGAATAATGGGGTTGTGGAAGCTGTCGCCATTCCCAGTGCAATGCTGCTTTCAACTGACGTTTTTTTGTAGAGGAGGTTCGTCTGCCTGTAGACTACGGCCTTACGTGTCCCAAACATGATCTATATGATTGAAAGCTGATCTCATTGTTGGCTATGGGGTAGAAGTCACGGCTTTACCTTGAAGATAGTCAGTTCCGACCCTTGAACGATGCGACTTTATATTGTCATTCATATACACAGGTCTTGCAGCTAGTAGATAGTTGTCAACAACTACTGATTTCAAACAGTTACTCACTGTTATGTGTGATAGACGTCTATTAGTAACCATTGTCTTTTTAGAACAGGACTATTTGCAAATTGAATTCGTTACGCTGCGATGTTACGGATGGTCTACCGGATCTTGGCAAGTTTTTCACGGAGTAGGTTTGGATGTGTTTTGGTTCGAGCCGGCTGACAACAGTAAAGTGATAGCCCATCTGAAGTGCAATTGCTTTTAAGGACATCCCTGTTGACCGCATGCCAACAATTTGCCATTTTGAGCCTCCAATATTCATACCATGTTAAAAGGGAACAAACATTTTTTTCCAAAACGCCGGACCAAAATATCCAAACGAGTAGGGCATTAAGGGCCGATTTCGGCCCGAAAGAATAAAGTTTTTGAGAACTATTTCAAATATGCACATAATGTTTGTGAATGCATAAAAACAACAAATATAAATGAATTACATGAGTTTTGATGTTATGACGTCACAATTCTGTCATAATATCCACCGTTTTCATGACAATGAAGAAAACTGCAGAATGTATGCAGTTTTCAGCTGTTTGTTTTCATTGTGGAAACATCGTTTACAGCCGAGAAACAACAACATGATTTAATAGAAGCTTTATTCTAACTATTGACATAATTCTACCAAGTATAAAGTTGTTTCTTGTTACTTTGCCAATCTAATATATACTTAAAATTAGGTGCAAAACAAGGAAGATACAAAATATGTTGATGATATGCACATTTCGTCATTGTTTGCTGCAATGGTAACTCGTTAATTGTGAAATTTGTTTTCATTTCCTAAACACCTAATTCCTTTGAAGAATGGACATACTGAATTTTTTATATTGCATGGGTGGCATGGCTAACATGCATGATACCCTAATATCTTAATTACCGGTCACACATGTATGAGCACATATTTTTAATTATACAATTGTCTTATTAACATCACTATTTGCATTTTAATTGAAATTCGTGGAAACATGCTATAATACAATATATCAGGGGGTGCTTAACCTTTTTCTTTGTGTATTTTAAGAATAGAGAATAACGGGGTGCTAAAATATAAAAATAATAGAGAATAATAGGCAGTATTTGTAAAGAATTAAGAAAAATGGCTTATAAAATTAAAGAATACAGAATTAAAGGACCCTTCTAAACTAGAGCACAAAAGAAACTGCATTTTTCCATACATGACAAATATTTCAATACAAAATTGTTATGTTTGCAATTCAGATGATTATATCATGTTTTTAGAAAATATGAAGGTTTGCTATAAAGTTTTTTTTATTATCTTGTCATAGATATGGACCACGTGCCAGCGTGCCGTTTGGATAAAATGTAACTCCATATTACAATTGATATAATAGAGAGGCAAAACATGCCATTTATGAGAAGTATTTTGTTTTAGTATGTCCAATATCCTGTCTAACTGTAAGGAAAGTCTGCGATGTCATATTCGTTCGAACTTATTAATGGAAGCATGGAGACGTTTATTTTCATGTTCTCGTGGCAGTGCTTACAAGTGTCCCTAATTACAAAAAGTAATTTTCTAGGTTAATTAAAGATTTAAGAAAATATTTTACCGCTTATTCGAAAAAATCACCGACACTAATTTCTATCAATCTATTTATTTCTCCATTTCGATGTCTGCAATTTTAATTTATGTGTTAATCATCGTGATTTGTTTTTCCTTAATCTCTATGTTATAGTTCATAGCCTCTTTTTGTTCTCGTACAGTGTTTTATAGTATGAAGCAAGAAAAAAAAATGATTTACTGAAAGGTATATTCTAAGTAGTCTGAATTTCGACATCAGTCTCACGTCGGCTTAAACTTCCCCACTTTTTCATATATACTCATTGTGCGATAACGGTATCATTCATATGTTGTTGCGATATAGGTGACCAATTCACATATTATATCATTTTGTACACATGCTCACACTGATGATACGACTAAAAAGTTCAAAGTAAATTCAAAACGAGTGAAGTCCATAGAAACAGATAATATCGAAAGTGAGATTATTAACCAATTGCAACGGAACTAATGGAAACAGAAAGTGTTTGCAGTTGATTGTACATACAGTTAATTAAAACATAATGCCTTACTAGAATACACTTTCCCGATAAAGTGCAAATTAAGTAAAATATAAGGACGAGAGTTAACAAAATGAAAACAACACTGTAAACACCTCTTGCGTCGCACATATCGTATGATTTTAGAAATGTATACTCCATCCCTGGTAAAGTTGGTGTGTTGATGTTAAGGTGATACACTTTATAATTTCAAAATTGATGACCTCTACTTCAGGATGATATATTTATGGGTCCCAATGAGAAAAGTTTGGAAGAAACTCTGACTTAATTGAAAATAGAAAAAAGTCGATCAGGACAAGTACACAGTTGTTTCTCATAGGAATGCCAACAACAAGCTGGAAAAATACTACACGCAAATTCAAACAAATATGTTGTCAATTAGAAACTGCAGCATAAGACACTTGTTCTTTGGTGTATAATAATAAGGAGATATGGTATAATTGCCAATAAGACAACTATTCCCTAGAGTTATAAATGAAGTGGATGCTAGCAATTATAGGCCATCAAGCGGCCTTCAACAATAAGAATAATTCATACCGTATAGTCGGCTATAAAAGCCCCCGACATGAAAATGTGAAAAAAATTCAAATGAGAAAAACGAACGGCCTAATTTATAACAAAGCATTTACAAAACACAAGTATAACAGACATATACCACCGGCAACCACAGTTGACACAACATAGAAAACTAAAGACTAAGCTAAATTTGACTTGGATAAACATGTCTGTGAGCGCTTAACAGAACAACATAAGCACAAACTGTAATAAGAGTACTTGCAGTTGCTGAAGGTTAGTTAAAAGCCAATTACAACTGATAAATAAATTATAATCTCTCAGATTAAGTACGAATCACTACATACCCAACCAATTTATGCAAAGACGTCATAAGCAGTCTAAGAAACGCATGGCCTGTGTAATGCCATAAAAGCGGGTGGTTTGGCTAGCCACAAAACCAGGTTCAACCCACCATTTTTTTTCTTAAAATGTCCTGTACTAAGTCAGGAAAATGGCCATTGTTATATTTTAGTTCGTTTCTGTGTGTGTTACATTTTAATGTTGTGTCGTAGTTCTCTTATATTTGATTTGTTTCCCTCAGTTTTAGTTTGTAACCCGGATTTGTTTTTTTCTCAATCGATTTATGAATTTCGAACAGCGGTATACTACTGTTGCCTTTATTTAATGCCAAAATATAAGTAAACAGTATCGACAAGATGAAGGATAATGAGTTCTCATAACTGTACCTATAAAGCAATATATATTTATTTATGTTTTGATTTTTCAGAAAAAGTGAATATCCAAAATTGTCAACCAAAAAAGGTTATTTCGCTGAGGTCGTAGCCTTATGGGGAATAACCTTTTAGGATTGACAATTTTGGATATGCATCGCTTCTAAGGGACCACAATTGTTTTGTTTATACCGAACTAACAATGGAGGGGCATTTTGAACCATTGAAGAAGCACTGTCCTTACTGTAGGTAAAGATACTTTAAACACTTACGGTAGAAAATAATTATGCATGTGTCCTGCTAGAATTTCGACTATATAAAACAAAGGAAGATTCTTTCTGTAAAATATAAGAGGCACTGAAAAGCACCGTTTATGAAAGATATTATCGGAACTAGATGAATTTTCAAGCTTTATTCCCTTGTCACTCGATGGTCTTCTTACGTGATCGTTGCCATTTTGTTTACATACGCCTGTCACGTAATTTTTATGGGAGATAACTCGTATACACATTAAGAAGCTTAAAAGGTTTTTTTCACCGTCGTATAATAGGGTCAATCATCGCTGGGTGTAGATTTTCTAAGTTTTTTGTCCTTCTTTGGATTTAAATGAAAATTAACTGAATTATTCCATGTCACGGTATTACGTGTTAATCAATAGAATTGTTTTTCATTTATGTAAGGTATAATAGAAGTAATTATTTTGTGAGTGCATAAAGACATATATTAATATTCAGCTTACCGAAATTGGTATATGTCGTCCGATGTTTTAGGGAGAGAGAAATTTACGGTTCTCTGACCAAATGTCCAATTGTCTTTTTCACTGAAATCTGTGCAGTAGCAGGACAGATCAGCCAGTAGAACAGAGTTACAACCTCTATAGCAATCTAGTTCACCTCCTACTCCACTTAACGGTACATCAGTATTAAATATGTTGTACTCATCACAAAAGTGGTTAGAGAAATCTCGACGGAATGATACTCTACATGTTATTTCTATTTGCTGGAATAAAAACAACAATAGAAGCAATGGAAAATAACAAATTAGTTTTTAATCATGTCAACGCGAAATGGATTTATGCTTGATTTAAAATTTTCGTGTTAAGCTTTCTTTCAAAAACTTAGTGAACAACATTTACTTAAACATGCAAAAGTATACTTTCAAACTTTCATTAGGTACTGATAAAGCAGAATTAGTGTAGGTAATTTCGTATTCAAATTTTTAAATCAGGATCATGCCAACTTTTCTTAAAATACAATTGTTTTATTTTTGAAGTTAATTCCTTTGTCTTGGAAACTTTAACTCATAACCTACAGTTACTGACTGGTTTAAATATAGCATTTAAATACCAGTTGTATGCTTTACTTACATTATGTCCATAATACCAGATGCAATGCACCAGACAAGGGTACGTCAATATATGAGGTTGTTACAACAGAAAAATGTTCATCTTGGTTAACAGCATAATATCTTGCGCTTATCGGCCTGTTATGACGACTTTACACTAAATCCGTTGGATGTGTACTGATAGCTAATTCAGTCTGGGATAACATGATAACATGATTCATTTATTAATTGTTCATTTTACAGTTTGTTCTTATGCTGTTACGCCACTTTCCCAAGTTCTTTATGTGCCTGCTCTAAGTGAGTAGTTCAGAGGTTATCGTTGTTTCGCGTTTCATTCATTTTTCGTAAATTTCTCATTTCAGTTATTTAAACTTTTTCATGTCAGGGCCTTCTAAAATTCACTATATGGTATATAGTTATTAAATGCAAAACGGCGCAAAATGCATTGAATATAAGTAATTTAACGTGTTCAAGCTTTTATTGTGACTTTGATACATATTAGACGACATAGAGAGATAAAGTTACATAAAAAAAGTATTACACAGTCTTAAAGATGTGGTGTTCCCGGGATATGGAGAGGGTGGGGAAAGGGGGTAAGCCATAGTTTACCGAGTCACAGTTTCAGTAGCTTTCGTTAAGTAACAAACGAAAAAGGAGTGATAAATCTAATTTTCCAAATAACAAAAAAACGAACATGGAAATGTGGAGCGTTTAAGTGGCCAGTTGTAACATAAAAACGTGTATAACAGGCTAAAAAGGGTATTGATAGCATCCATAACACTTTGCAATTATAATTTGAAATGTTACATAATTTCACCGATTCATCTACATGCGTTTAATGTACCCTTTGAAAGTATAGGTCATATTTTTTTTTTCTGACTGTTAATGACGTCTTTACACTAAATCCATTGGACGTTGGATGTGTACTGATTGATATTTTAGTCTTAAATACATGATTTTTTTTATTTGTTGTAATTAACTTTGAACTAGCTGTCAGTAACTGTGAGTGCTCTCAGATCTGTACTTAGTGTCCTTTTTGTTGTTAGGGATTAGGGATGGAACAATACTCTGCCACGTCCGGTCTGAGTTTTTGTTTGATGTTTTCTGCTTTGTGTCGATCTGATGAGTTAAGCCTTGTTCAACTGATTTTTGATAGTTTGTTCTTATGTTGTGCTGTTACACCACTGTTCCAGGTTAGGGGGAGAGTTGAGCACTAACAAACATGTTTAACCCTGCCTCATTCTTTATGTGCCTGTCCCAAGTCAGGAGCTTGTAGTTCAGTGGTTGTCGCTGGTTCATGTCTGTCATATTTGTTTTTCGTAAATTTTTTGTAACAAATTATGCCGTTAGTTTCCTCAATTAAATTGTTGCTTATTTTTGATGTCGGGGCCTTTAAAGCCGACAATACGGTATGGATTTTATCATTGTCCAAGGCCGTGCGGTTGCCTATGATTGCTTACATCCACTTTATCTAAACGTTGGTGGATAGTTATCTCATTGACGATCATACCTCATCTCCTTATTTTTATAATGTTTTATCAGCAAGTTACATAAAAAAACCAAGTAAATCAACAGGACGAATCATATCCCAAAAAGTAAAGATACACTGTAAAACATTCACTATTAATGTATGTAAAAGGGTTTCTACAATCAGTGCACAATGATTACATAAATTATATAGTACCTGATTATCCGTATGTTTCCATGTTATCATTCCTCCGAGAAAATGGGATCCATCAACGCTTTTTAGTATAATTAATATCAATACAATAACTATAATGTCGACATGCATATTTTGTTTACTTTTAAAGGACTACTACATATTATGTTGTACCTTTAAATATAGCCAAACACTTTGTGTGTATTTCTTTATTCTCATTTTTGCTATTTAATAGATTCCCACAAAGAATATGATACCCGAAATTTACAACTTTTTTCATAAATTTAGACAGTACTTCATATTTCCTGTCTGAGAAAAAGTACCTTAATTATGTCAGTCCCGCTAGCGTTTTCTATATCCCTATTTATCTACTTTTATGTTTGTACGTCTATATGTTATGGTTGATTAGATAACACTTATTTATATCAAAAACTTCATCAAAGACTGCATGTTATATAAAAAGATAAAGTTGATTTGTTCTTAAAATAATGCAAGAAGTATATCAATAGAAAATGATTTATTTTCGGGTTTTTTATTTCAGAAATAAGATTTCACCTTTATACTGTCTATTCTTATATGTGTTTAACATAATCAAACATGCATTAATATTAGGCGAGGCTGTATATATGTGGACAACTATCTACTAGAGATCACTGGACGTCAGCATGCAATTCCCAAATTCCTTACCGTAAAGTACGCTATGAAAAACAATTCAAACAAAAAAATAAACGGCCTAGTATTATATTTGAAAACAATACAAAAAAAAAACAACAAATATGGCAGCAAACAAAAAAAAATGTCATCTGATTTACAGGTCCTGACTGTGGACATGCACAAACAAAAACTGTGAATTCCTGCTCATGTCCAGAAATCAACGCCAATTTGCTTATTTGAATATTAACTAAAGAAATCGGATACGAGTCACGGAAATTATATTAAAATGATAGGGAATTTTGAAAAAAATGTCTGTTTTAACTTAAATTTAAGTGATTGACAGAAAATAAATATAAACAACAATATACACCATTTAAACGAAACATAATGACTGTCGTTGCAAAAATCAAGGTTCCTGAGCTATTTTAAAAATCGAAGCGAGAGGCTTTTAACATTGCAGTATAAAATACAGGCTAAAATGGCTAAAACGTCAAATTTGAAAACTTCGTGTTGAAAATTGGCTAACAAGGTCATTACAAAACCAGGTTGCCGGGATGAAACTTGAAACTTGAATGTCCAAAGAAAAAGCAAGTCCAGACCTAGTATGTGTATTCGTTGAACTCTATGTTCCCACGTAACGTTAAAATGCTCCCATTTCAAGAAGAATAAACTCACGAAAACACGAAAATTTCACTAAATTTGCGTTCATTGATTTGATTTTAACCGCCTGACAACTTTACGGAAATATCAGAGTGACTCTGTGACGGGCAACTTATAATTTTCGTGTTTTAAAGATTTTAATGATATCAAGCCAGTCCAGTTCAAACTATTATCACGTGGTACAATTCTCATTTACATATTATGAATATTAATTAGCAAAAGTACTACTAATTTCTGGCTATGTGATATTGTGAGTAAACCTCAACGCAATCCATACTGAACGTTCCCTTTACGAAGTGCAATTTCGTATGATAGAAAATACGAATGATGCAGAGAAAACCACTAAAGATTATCTTTATCCTGCTCACCATCAACGATCAAAAAACACAAACACCACGTAATACCGGGGCAGAACTAAGGAGATCTGTAAAATGTAGGCAGTTAGCCATACAAAGGATGCATGTACACCTGATCTCCCCTTTAAAAAAGGGATAGGTTCGACTAAGATTAAATTGGCCCTCACTTTTTAATTGTTTTCTTTTATCCATGCCAAAATACCACCAATTTTAATTAAAAATAAATAAATGTGACATTACTATTCATAAAAAATAACTTGAAACCACACATTAGAATTTTTTGAGTAATGACCCCTGAATCATGCGGTTGGTAAATTTTGTCCATGATTTCAAACAGTGTTTAGCCTATTTTACTTTTGCCTCAAACCATGGTCCAGAAATGTGTGTGTCTAGTGATTACATATTAGCTTTGGCATCCGTTGCCTACGGAAGTTTTTGATCGTTCCTGTCAAGGTTTTGAATCCAAAGTATGAACACACTCAACGGATTTTGACAACATCTTTAAAAGTACTATAATTATATAATGACATGTCAAAATTGGCAAAATAAATAGAATATTCATTTATAAAGAAACATAGTACCTTATGCTATTGAAAGAGTTCATAACCAATGATTTGTTATTCAGGTGGACATTATATTTTGATTCTGTTTGTTAACGCTGATGGGAACATTTAAAATAGATGTATACCAACAGTTATATCATTGGATCCCGGTCCTATGCCTAATTTTCTCCGCGTAAACTATCCAGCAGAAACATAGGGCCCTAGTCAAAATGATTAGCCAAATAGTACACATCCATATATTTATTTGACATTGTTTATATTATGCAGTTTTTTTTTTATTATGCAGAACTTTACTACCAAGTTATCTTGTATTTTGCCATATTGCCTATCAATCAATTTTTCACATTGTCAGCTTCATTCAGTTTAGCATCCGAATTCCAATCATTAATAGTTCATTAAATATCCACATAACAATACGGTTGCAACGTGTGTTTTTCCATCAAATACTACAACTGACATATGCAGATTGTGAAATTTACATGAAAATTGCCATCTGAAGCCCGAAACGACTGACGTCAATTCTAAGTGCAAATTCAAATGATTGTTTTCCCAATTAAATCTTTAGGCATCGATGTATTCATTTTTTTCTAATTTCACTTAAAAGCAATGTTTATATCGAGTGTCAATCCGTTCCATCCTGCACCGATATTTAATCCTGTTATACAATTTTGCCTTGTTATTAGTGTATGCTATAATCTTTGATATAATGAAATGAACAATTTAATTTTAAATAGAACGATAACGTTTTGACATATAATATGGATATTTAAATCCATTTATATGTCTTACAGTAAGTGTACATGATTCAAATTTAAACCATGTGCAACTCATTTGATGATATCTTAGTACACAAATCATCTTTCAGTCATTTGCTTCACGTATGTTATAATTAGAAGGGAATTGTAGAGTTGTGATCAAATATCAACTGGATCAAAGTCGTTTTATATTCTATTTATTGTTGTCAAGTGTGTGTAGGTTATTACTTGATGACGATGATTGTGAATTGACTTGAATTGACTTGACATAAAACCGATATAATGATAAGGCTTTAGAGACGGGGAAAAGGCGAAGCTCTGTACATTTACTTGGTTTTGTGTTGAATCTTTAAATAATGTATCGTTATTACATTGTATGTGAAGTTAATGCACTATTATTGTCTTTTTACTGCAATCTTGAATGATTGTATATCAACTATGTCATTTATGTGTTATCGTTTAGTTAGTAAATATTTAAAAAAACTACTTTTACCGGTCTAACTTCTTTCGTTGGCCAAGTTAAATTGTTATGTTTCAATACGTTGAAATCATTCGTGTGAACGAGTTTGGCCGATTTCAGAAAGGAAAATCAACTATGAGCATTAAACTATATAATCAAAAACATTCTATTAACAAAGAAGAGAAAGAACACTTTTTTTTGTTTAATTTGTGTATGAGAAATGTGGCCAAAATTGTTATTTTAATGGCCGCCTCTCGAAGTGTGTACATTTCAGTACGAATTTAAAAGGGTAGGCATGGCCTAAATCAGTATTGGTCATTGACTGTATATCACATACATTTATACTAATCACGCATTTTGACTACTCAAATAGAACGACTGGAGTATCCGTTAATTCGTACACCATTTTCAAACAGAGCCTGAATGACGTAGAAGTAAGCAAATATAGGTTACCGTGCAGCCTATAGGTTGCATTTCTGTAAATATCGACAATGCAATTTCCCATAGGAACTCCTTTTACGACTAAAACTGTACCACTTTTACAATGAAGTTTTGAAGAAAAAGAAATATAACCTAGAATGGAAATAAAATTGACAATGGAAATGGGGAATATGTCAAAGAGACAACAAACCGTCCAAAGAGCAGATTACAGCCGAAGGCCACCAATGGGTCTTCAGCGCAGCGAGAAAACCCCGCACCCGGAGGTGGTCCTCAGCTGGCTCCTAAATAAAATTGTGTACTTGTTCAGTGAAAATGGACGTCACGCTAAACTCCAAAAACATATAAAGGAACTAAAATTAAAAAAAACATACAAAGCTAACAAAGGCCAGAGGCTCCTGACTTGGGACAGGCGCAAAAATACGGCGGGGTTAAACATGTTTTGTGAGATCTCAACCCTCCCCTTTACCTCTAGCCAATTTATAATAAAGAAACACATAGCAATACGCACAGTAAATCTCAGTTTAAAAGAAGCCCGAGTCCGATGTCAGAATAGGTAACAAAAGAAACTAAGCAAAATGACAATGATACATAAATTAACAAAGGACTACTAGCAGTTACTGACATGCCAGCTCCAGGCCTCAATTAAACTGATTAAAAGATTATGTCTTCATCATATGAAAATCAGGTACAATCCCTCCCGTTAGGGGTTAAGTATCATACCATCATAAAGTTTATGAGAAGAACATAACCCGTATCATGCCAACAACTGGTTTTAGAATAAGTGTGTTTATTTCCGATACAAAGACCCTATGAGTGAATTAATATTAATACCAAAATATGCAATCCTTAATGACCTGACAACAGTATCGTAACTATATCCCTTCCGAATAAGTCTGTTTAAAGGTTTGGTTAGGTTTTGAGGTGAATGCCGACATTTTTGTGCTTTGTAAAGAATATTACCATAACATATTGGATGTGAAATACCTGAACGTATAAGATGTCTACATCTTGATTTATATTTACGAATGATGTCCTTGTACCGATGATAAAATTTAGTAAATGTTTTGACTAGTTTGTGATATCGAAAACCCTGGTGTAATAATTTTTCAGAAATACAGAGATATCTTTCGTTGAAATCAAATACGTTGTTACATACACGAGCGAATCGAACAAGTTGAGATATATAAACACCATAAGATGGTGACAAGGCAACGTCACCATCTAAAAATGGATAATTAACAATAGGAAATGAAAATCATCTCTTTTATCATAAATCTTGGTATTAAGCTTCCCGTTAAAGATATAGATATC